GGGCCAATGAGAARTGGAAATAATGCCTCTGTGGTAATAGATTTAAGAAAAAGGAAGAAAACTSTGATTGTGCAGTTGTGATTGCARCCAGAGAAGAGTGGGATGAGAACACATGAGAGGAACAAATCTGCATGCACCAAAGTCAGTGGAGAAGGAGGAGAAGGAGATGCTCCCAGCTCTGGAGCTGAGATTCYCCTGTAGCCCATGGTGAGGCAGCTGTGCCCCTGCAGCCCATCTGGTGAAGGGTCTGGAGCACAAATCCTCTGYRGRGCAGCTGAGGGAGCTGGGGCTGTTTATCCCAGAGAAAAGGAGGCCCAGAGACCTCATCAYTCTCCACAGCTGCCTGAAAGGAGGGGACAGCCAGGTGAGGGWCRGTCCACCCTCACAGGCATAGAACAACAAGAGCACAAAGCCTCAAGCTGCACCAGGGGAGGGGCTGGACAYTGGGAARAATTTCTTCACAGAAAAGGTGATTAGACTTTGGAATGGGCTGCCCAGGGAGGTGGYGGGGTGACTGTCCCTGGRAGTGTTTAAGACAAGGGAAGATGTGGCACCTGGGCTATGGTCTAACTGACAAGGTGGTTTTAGGTCATAGGCTGGACTCAATGATCTCAAACTCTTTTCTGACCAAGTTAATTCKTAGTTAGAATTAGGCTCTGAGGCCTAGTAAGGCCTCCTCTCCTAATGAGGCTGTGAACCCATGGGAGGCCATGGCGAGAGGAGCCCCTCTGGAGCAGCCTGTCCTTGAAGGACTGCACCCCATGGAAGAGTGACCCATGCTGGAGCAGCCTGGGGAGCACTGCTCCCTGTGGGATGGACTCATGCTGCACAAGTTCATGGAGAACTGTCTCCTGTGGGAGGGACCCCTCAGGAGGGGAAGGTCTTCTCTCCCTGAGCAGTGGGAGAAACAACTTGTGATGAGCCAACCATAACCCTCATTTCCCACCTCTGTGTGCCATTGAGGGAGCACGTAGAGCTGGAAAAGAGGGAGAGGTGGGGGGGCAAGGCATTTTTGAGGTATTMTTTTATTTCTCTGTGTCCTGTTCTGTATTTTTTAGTAATAAATTCAATTAATATCTCTAATTCTAGCTTCTTTCCCATGATCAATGAGTGATCTCTCCTGGTCTTTATCTCAGTTCATAGGCCCTTCATGATATTTCCTCTCYAGCTGTGGAGCAAAGTGATAGAAGGGCTTTGGTGGGTGCCAGGCATCCAGTCAGGGTCAACATGCTATGAGGACCATCGCTCTTCTGCTAAGGCTGAGCATCTTTCTCTATTTAAAATATCATACAAATCATTCAAAAATCGATATACACTGCTTGATTCACAGTCTGCTGAACCTCCAGGCACATTYGGAGGCCAAATCATTTGAAAAAAAMCAAGTTAAATCCTTGTTGCCACTTTCTATTCACAATTTTTTAAAAGGCTTTGAAAAAACTGGCAAATTAAAAAGAGAAGTGTACCTTTAGTTTTTCTCAAGCATGTTTCAAATGTGAAGCCTCAGCATGCTCTGCTATGGAAACAGTATTCCCAAAAATTAGGTCAGATCTTCTAAATCCATGTTGACACCCATTAAGATGAGCTGAGAAGCACWGAAGTGCATGAGGATTGGGAGTTTGTTGGCAAGTTGTGTTGCAGGTAGTCTATTACTACATAAGCAAGAGAGATCGAGGCAATGACCCCCATGGTCACTGAAGTTCACTCATGAACTACCATTCTAACACCAGCTCACTCTAGAGAAAGCAGTAAGCAAGGACCACACAGAGCCTCATTCTACTGTGAGAGGCAGAAATATTTTCCAGAGAATTTTTCCTTTAGCAATAATATCTCAGAGTGCCTTAACATCCAAAGGCAGGTACTCATTTTCTTTCAAAAGCATAGCTGTGGAAGCAGCTGTTAATTAGAACAAGAGAAGATGAAAGTAAGTGGCTGGAAAGGTACAATGTGACTGACAATATTCACASGTGTCCTTAGCAGTGTAATAAAATGCAGTGACAGACAGGCACACAGCATCATCTGTTGCCCAAGGCACTCCTGGCCTCTGAATGTGCAGTGTGCATGTATTTTCAGACTACTACAGGGTTTTTTTCTGTAATATCATAGACATAGTGATAACTTCAGCTAGGTCATTCATTCTTTACCTTCATTTTCCAAAAATAGTTTCTCATGTTAACCCACAATGTAACTCAAGGACTACAGTCAAGCCTAGCCTATAAAAGGCAGGACAAAATGAAGCATCAGTAATCTGCGGTGACAACTATTAAATATTCTTCTTGCAAGTGAAGTCTAAATCCTGAGTACTGTCTCTACCCATGTTGCACTAGTTTCACAGAAATCAAACCTTTACACCATACACACAGAGATTCATWTACTGGATAGATGATTTTTTTACATCAGCTACCTCTATGGACAAGTAATAAACCCAGTTCTTTTTAACATTTGTCTCTCTGATGTCTCTAAGGTGCTTCATTAAAGATTAACTCCTATAAAGATTTTACAAAGACTGCATCGACAATAATCYACACGAGAGATTAACCATAGGGTTAATTTATATTCTGAACCAAAGAGTAGTATGGCAATGTGACAGAATCAGAATACAGTCTTAATTTCATTATTTAAATGGGCACCAYAGACATCCATCAGATTTCCACCCAGTTGAAGAAGCATGAGAGCAGCTCTGACATGCATAGACATAGTCACAGAAATGAAAAGCTTTGGTACTCTCACTGAGCTGTGAAGTAYGTATGGCTTTCAAGTCAAAGGGTGATATTATTAATTTATTTTAAAAATATCTTAAGAACATACCACAACAAATGTGATTGTCATATGAACACAGCAGCACCAAAAAAACAAAAAAGGAAAACAAAAATCTACCAAGAAGCCAACTAGTCATCAAGGTTTCATGACCGTGCCCTGTCAAATGCTAATGAATATATTTCACCAATCACTGCAATTCAAGGAAAGAAAAATAACTCCAGCCAACATAGAGCATCACCTTGAATCTGACCCTCTGTTTTTGTCACAAAGCAAATTCTCAGAGGTGAGTTACATGACTGCACTTCTCTTGTTCATTTTAGCAGCATTTTCTATACTTTGTCATTGTATAAGAGACATAGGCAGAGACAAAGCAAAGCCTCCCAAACAGCAAGATTAGGAAACTATTAAGCTGATCAGATACAAAAACATGTTGAATTAATGATGTCCCAAATTATTTCTCCTTTTTAATGTCTTAATAGCATTACTTTTTAAAAAAGACTGTAACCCATTTTCCACACAGCAACTTGACTTTAAAGATTCATTTGAAATATTCCAGAAAAGACAAAAACATACTCACAGCACAATACATGTCAGTGAGCCAATTCTAGGTGCTTTGCATTTCAATAAAACTTATCCTGGGAGGATATCCAAAAACTTTTTAAAAAGTCAATTAATTAGACTCTTGAATGAGAAAAGTCTACACAAAGTTTATAYTCTGGCTCATAAAAGGTAGGATGTTTATCCAAGAACAACTGGTAACAAATAATGAAAATCCATTGACTTCGTGGTTTACAACCTGTTCACTCAGCTGAGCAGTTTCAGTMTTTAATCCAAGATACACAGCCATAATATGAACAGCATGCTCCAGCTGTTCTATACAAACTATAAAAGTACCATTCAGCAGAACGCAAGCTGTTCTTGAATTTTCAGTAAGAGGCCAGTGACAATGGTATCATCCACATTCATGAAGTGGCTCGTGAGCACAAGAACTTGGAGTGCTCAGGGAAAGCATCTATGAAGAGCCTCAGGCAACAAGTGCTGAGGCACTCAGTGCTTCTGCAGCATGCAGCCAGCAGTCAGCAGCATGGCCTGCTCACTAATAAGGCGTTAAAGCATATGTGCAGTCCTGCACAGCTGGTGCAGAGCTCAAAAGAGCTGCTACTTTCCTACAGGCCCCCACCGTGTACACTTCTTGGAAAAATGCCCAGAGCAACAGAATGTTCACAATGGCCAGTATGAAGGACAAAGCTCCCATTCATTAAGTACCACTGAGCTGCTGTACAGCTCTGTTTTCACAGCAAAAATTTCAAATTCCAACATAAGCAGCAAGAATTCTTACCCTCCAGAGCAGCTGTATTTGAAAAATMTATTGCACCTCTAAGTCGCTTTGTTAAGGCCTATCGTACTTTGAAAAGACTACCTTATTTGTGATCCTAAAAACATAGACAAGAGAAAATTCAGACTGCTATATGTATACCTGTTGAAATAGTTAGGGCTGAATGAGATAAAGAGAAAG